AACTGAATGAGTGAGGACAAGAGGGCGGAAAGTGGCAAAGCGGAAAAGGCGCGGAAGAAAAAGAAAAAAGAGGGCAAATCGGGGTGAAGTGGAAGAAAGAGGGTGGTGGAAGATTCTGGTTACCAAGTGACAGTGTGTTGGTTCATGAGTTTTCTAATGTTTGTATACTATGCTGACTGAAAACATACAAGAATCGAGGTGATAAATCCGGAAAATGAACAATTTTAGGTTACTGTAGTTGTCGTTGTGGGACATTCGGTCACGGCCACCGGTGTTTCTCAGCTAACTGAGAAACAACCGAAAAGTGGTTGAGTGTTAAAAAAAGCGCTGGCTACATGAGTGCGTGAAGAAGCTTCAGAAAACCAAGACAAACATCCCGAGGCGTGTCTCCAAATGGGTGTCACGATGAGTGGTTTCACATACACCGAATGAATAATAATAACAACAAGAAAATAAGTGTTACCGTAAGCAGCTGGGTATCTAGATTTCGGATTCAAAAGATGATTCGGGAAGAGAGAGGAAAGTGTGGATGAATGAAAAAGAGAAGAAAATGGAACGGATTTCTTTTCGCAACAATGAGCTAATGAACTTAAATAATTATCTCACCTCTATATAAGCATCGCGTGTAGAAGGTGTCAATGTGACTACGCCTTCCATAAAAGCTATTGCAGCGTGTCTACCGCGGATATCATGGCCATCGAGCTGAAAACCAAAAAAAGTTGAAATTAAAATACTTGCAAGCCTTACATAAATATTGTGTTGTGAGAAGTTCGACATTTGGCTGTCACTTCCGACTTCTGTGACGCCTTCGTGAAGTGATATCCAATGAGTGGAGAGTTGTCCATCTGGAAATTTAATAGTTAAAAAAATAAACTGAAAATTTAAAAAGAAAATACCATTTCCCATCACAATTAGCATCGGCAAACCGTTGGTTTGGGTCGGGAAAGACGATGTTAATGGAGACATTGGAAGAGTGACCGAAGAAGGAACTGAAGTGGATGGTACTCTGAAAATTAGGAAGGATTATGAAGAGGTTAAACTACTCGACTTTTAAATGTCGTTGAACTTCTAAATGTTTATTTTTCTAAAGGCAAGAAAGACAACAAAATGTTTATAAACGAATTGAGAAAATCCCTGGTGACCAAAAATGCTGTATTTCCTCTGATAGAAGTCTCATCTAAAAAGTCAAATATAAGCTCGATTATCCTGTTAAAGATATCAAAAATCTTTAACTAATGACATGTTTATCATAATATCATAAATATTTCATAAGTTGAAATATTCTATATATCTTGCATAGGAATTGAGATAATTGAGGTCTAAGTTTATAGGTTGGGTGGCCTCCTATTAGACAAAATGCGGTGTTCTGAGAAAAAGAAAACCTCACTGATAGTCATGTGGTTTTCGTTTAATTGCCAAAAATGAGTCGAATCCATGTTCACCATTTCCACGAGCTGTCATCTCGAATAGTGGACTTTCAGTTGGCGGTATCGGCCGCCCATCGACGTCTCGTAAATCTGACATACTCTTCCGTTCGTCGTCATTCGATACCTGCAATTTTTCAAAATAATCCATGAACTTTTCCGCTCGAAAAATTTAATTAGCATCTTTTCTTCTTGTGACTCATTGCAAACAGGAAACGGGTTTCTCTGCAAAACCGAATTCGTGACAAATCACTGTCGTTTTACGCGGGTTTTAATGTGTCACAAAATAGAAGGAGAAGAAGAAGAAGGTTCAAGTTGAACTTCAAAACTTTGTTTTCAAATTTCGAAAGGAAATGGAGAGGAAGGAGAACGATAAAAAAATGAATGTGACCGGTTGATGAGCGGTAATAAGCATATTGTTTCCTTACTTCCTAAAGAGGAGAACTGTGAACTTTGAAAACAACTGAAAGGAGAAGGTTACTGTGATTAGAGATACAGTGATCAAAGATGTCCGAAACTACCTTTTCAGGAAACGGAATAAGGAATAAAATCATTTTCTCGGAACCTGGAATCTGGAATCCGGACATCTCTGATACTGATCGATCTGAACAGCTAGAATCTAACTTTTTCGAAGAAAAAACAACATCAGAAGACACATATTCTACCTCCGAAGATCTGCTATGAGTGAGCCTCTTCAACGACTCAAACAGAATTCTCGTAGCTTTTGACCTATCCTCAACTATATTCTTCTGCTGGATCTTTTTCTCTGTAGCGGGGCTCCGTTCAAACGATAGAAGACGCGTGAGACGTTTGCCAAATCCAGAATTACTCCTTTTTCTTTGTAATTCTTCTTCTGCTTGAACTTTTTGCTTCAGAAGCTGCTGCTCTTTTTGGTATTGAAGCTCACAGAGCTCATCAATAGTATCAATTGAGCAACTACTTGCGTTTTGGCGATAGAGAGACATAGTTAGAGAATAGAGTATGATAGTCAGGAGAATATAGACGAATTTAGAGGAGATGACTCCTGAATTCAAGTGAATTCGTTAGAAGACGTGCCGTCGTCAAGTGACCCAATGGGGTTTTCAAATTCTTCTATATTCCAGTTGGAGAGATAGAGAGACGCAGGTTGACGTCAGATACACAATTAAAATTGGAAAACGAAAGTGATACTATCAGTCAGTCTCAATTCCGTCCACTAGGCCATGAAGAAGAAATTTCGAAAAAATCGTACATGATCTCCATTTTTCTCTCGTTTTCAATCTTTTTCAATCAGTTAGTTTACGTTCTTCGCACAACATTCTTCAGTTTACGACTATTTTTATAATGGGAAGTTAGGTTAACTTATTTAACGAACCTCGACCAGAATGAAGTCGTCTTTCGATTGTTCTAATCCGTATTTCTCCAATGCTGCTATCAGAATCCGATCAGCGGTTTCATTGATTTCTGCCAATATCGAAACGTACGGACGGGTCGGAACGATTTCTCCACCATATACTTTTAGACTTCCACCTAAAAAAAGTGGACGTTTTTCTATTTTTTCAAAACATTTCTAGCTTACCAAAAGTCATCTCCTTCAACTTTGTCTCTAACTTTTTCTCTCTTCTCTTCCGCATAACTGCTTCTGGATTCGAGATAGTTCGAGTGAATGTGTTAAATGGCACTTGTTTATAGATGTCATCTTGAGATTGCGCTTCTTCTCGACCACCATTTACATGAACTGGAACTATCGAAAAGTTGAATCTAAATAATTAAATATCGGTTTTATCTTACCAAACTCTTTCTGGTGTTTCTTTTTCGGCTCTTTGTCTTTCTTTTTGGCAAATCGGGAACCTTTTTGATCGGCTTCCTGGAGAGTCTGAAAGGAAATTGAGACTTCGAACTTTGAAAATATTGTAAACTTACATTCAAAGGCACCGGAGCAGATTTATCCTTTTTCAATAGAAACCTTCCTTCCCTGTCATCCTTGTGCCACTGTAACTGGACAACAAGGGGTTTCTCTTCTTCTCCTAGTCGCCGCTCCTCTCCATTTTCGTGTACTTCCCATAGCGAGTAAGTGTCATTCGACAGCATTTTCAGATCGGGTAGAAATTTCTCAGACAAGGCATCGACTACTGCTCGGGTGGTGGCTGTTGAAGAGACTCGAACGCATTTTGTGAGCACTTTTTCACCGCCATCCTGAAAAAAAATTATCATGATTGTATGTTTTTTTAAAAGTTTTTGGTTCATTTTTATCTTGGCCACTTGTCACGAATTGTGTTTTAGGTTGTTGTCAGAAAAAGCCCTCACTTCATCTCTTCGTTTCTATTATTCGTCAATATTTTCCTATTGGGATCATAAATAAGCTTAACACAGTCTCACAGCTCCGTTCTCTCTTGAGGTGTTTGCCGATCAGTTTTATACATATACTTATTCTAGTGTTTGCGCTGTTCCTCCTTTTCTTTGACTTTTACCATATAGCATGAGTTGAACAATACAAAAAGACTCACCTGGAAATAGAACCTCATAACACCTTCCACTTCGAGGTCTTCTGTCGGATAGGAGAGGTGGAATAGATCGAGACGGTTCTCGTTCCATTGTTGCACTAGGCATGCCAGTTGTTCTCGTTCCGACACTATCGTCATTTTTGCATAATTTTTGTGTTTTCTGTAATTAGATAGATGATGTCAATTAAAATACAGAATCGAGTAATAATGATGAAGGTTTAGAAGGGTAAGTAAGTGAGGAAAGAAGGAAGGAAGAGAGGGATCGAAGAATATAAAGAGGAAACACAAACAAGAACGAGTTTAGTTGTCTTCTTATTCTGCTTATTCTCGGGAGGAAGTCAAGCATCAATGAGAAGGAGGGAAATGAAGATGACGATCGACTTCTTCTAGATTCTAATGAGAACTAGAAGTTTTCAGCGTTACGGTTTATCGAAGAAAGTATAATATGAACTATCTAAGTAACTGATATAACGAACGGAGTGGTAGAAAATCGGAAAAATCTTACTTTTGAATGGAAAGATGGGGAGGAATTCAACAATCAAACGTCGTGAGCAATTGGAAATCAAATGAACAGTTGGGCCTTCTTTTTCACTTCATTCTGTTCCATAATTGAGTTTTTGAAGTGCCCCTTTGCTCTTTGGACACAATAAAGAATTTCTTGGATGGACGAGGAAGTCGATGATTCAATTCTGTTAACCCGTGCAATCTGTTCTATCTGACTGTGAGAATTGGAGACGCAGAATCATGAAATTGTTTTTCGTTCAGCGGTGTTCAACAGTTGGCATAACTTTCTTTGAAAATCATGGCCTTTTTTGAAAACCATCAAAACGGGAAGATGATTTTCGTGAAAGAGAGCAGAGATGTTGCGGTCAGGAAAAACACAAAAGTGTCAGATTTCTTCAACGAAAATTGACAAAAACGAGCCGTAAAGCAAAAAAAGGAATTCGAAAATGCACAGACAAACGGAAAAAAAGCAGAGAAAAAATGTAAGATAAATATCTTTCATGTCGGAAAAAAATCCAGGTCGTTTCGGGACGCTTTAAAATTTTTTCTCGTGCGCCTTTAAAGGTAATACGGTAAGCAAAAAAAACTGGTGATTTTTTATTTGGAAAAATCTCAGTTTCCATCTATTTTCACTCAATTCATAGAACTAAATGAATGAACAAATATATAAAATTAGGTTGAAATTACTGAGTTTTCTTTGAAAAAAAGTAAATTTGTGTGGGGTCATAGGTGTTGTTCAAAAGGCGTCAGTTGGAGGTGATTCTTTTTCCAACGTAATGCGATGGAAATACGAAAAGAAAGAGAAGAAACAAGTGTAAAATTTGAACATCTGTCATTTTGTCGGTGAGGAGCGGAATGAGTAGAAAAAGGCACGAAATGACCATAAACCTTGAAACTGTAAATTGCACTAGAAGATGATTCGTGAGGGGGAATGAAGAAAAATGACCAAGAAGGGAAGAAAACAAAGAAAATGGTTTTCAATTAATATTGTTTTCCATGTCGGTTCTCAAAAATGGGTCCTCTTTCTCTACAGTTATTGATAAACAGTGACATTCTGATAAGGAGACGATGAAATAGCATGAGAAGTGCAAGAGACGCAGACAATACATGGGAAGAAAAACGAATGAATCGCCGACGAGCGGGTAGGTAATACAAGATGGCCAGAGGAGAGGAGGAGCCAATGACCTTCAGATTAAGAAACAATAAGAATCAGAGAGACACAGAGAAAAGAGTCTTACCGCCGGTTGACTGAAGGGTTACCTGCGGACGAGTGCGGAGAATGGCTGCATTGGCCGGTGGCGAAGAGAAAGGGTGAACACATTGATGCAACGTATGGTGAGAACATGAGTCAAAGAGAAAGAGAAGAAGATATGATGAACGGTATTTGTGGGAAAACGCACATATTCAATTGGCGGGAATTGAAAATTTATTAGATTCGAAAACCGAATAATGGTCGAAATTTCCAAGTTTCAAAATTTCGGAGTTTCAGAGTATTCACATTCTGAAAATTTGGGAATTTCGGAATCTTTGGAATTTTTTAACATTAAAACTTCAGAGCAGAAATTCGAGTTTTTTTTAAAGGGGGACTCCGACCAAAAATTTTTATTGCATTAAAATGTGTTAAAAGTTATCTATTTTCCGAATATTATTGCGAAAAAATTCAAAAAAAATCCGAAATTCCCGAAAAACGGCGTGAAAAGGAAGAAAATTCA